CTTTCCAACTGCTTGTGTAATGAACTGTTTGAAAGCGTTTTCAGTGCACACTAACATACATCACTCACACACACACACACACACACACACACACACACACACACACACACACACCACTACCTACCTTGCACTTTCTCCTTCTGAACCAGCTTCCTCCCTTTTGAACTGAATAAAGGCTAGACTGCCAGCTGTCCTGAAGATGCCGACACACACACACACACGCACACACACACACATACGCACACACAAACAAACATACCAATAACCAGCTGACAGCCCGGCAGAATCGTCTTCCTGTGGATGCAGCTTTTCTGTTTTCATATTGGATGTTATATAGAAAGCACAACAAATTGCACAGTGGATTTACTACACTGTCCTCAGTTATAAATGAACAAGAGTTGATCTGCTTTTAACAAATCCTGCGTGGGACTTTTCCTAAATGCATCACTGCCAAGTGAATTATAGCTGCTATTATACTGTAGTTAAGCCATGTTTTATAGCACTGATGAGGTATTTTTAATTTTCTCCTGCTGGCTGCCGCATCAACAGATGGGCTCCAAAGCTTTCCAGTTTTGCTATTTTATCAGACAAATCGTGTTTTTTTTAGACTGGTAAAAAAAAACAGCACTTAGTTTCTGTTAAAGCGATAATTTCGGTTTGCAGCAGAGCAGACATGTTTGTTATTCATTTAAAACTCACCAGCCTTGAAACCGGGAACTGAGCCTAAAACACTCATCAGTTAGTCAAACTACACAAAGTCAACAACTAGAACTGAGATACTGGCAACTGTTTTTAAGATTTGAATGTTCACCCGTCATTATTTAATTCAGCATCATTATTTATAAAACAACTGTACATAAACATGGATGATGTCCTCACATCTTTACATACAGTCTAGGATTTATACACAGCAGCAACAGCCAGGTCAAGTTAAGAGAGTCAAAAGCACCATGAACTGATCGCTAGTCTATATCACAGAACTTAAACACCAAGACAAACGAACTCCGAAGCTCTCGAACAAGCAATTTGAACTTTCCAATTAACCTAACCGGCATATTTATCGCTGTAAAGCTGAAGAAAAATCAATTAAGAACCTTATAAACATAGACTCACAGAGGTTTGCAGTCACTATGTCTCTTTGGAAAGTCAGGATTAAATAGTCGGGTGCATTTCTACACCTGTTTATTGCTCTTGTTCAAAATCAAGTTTCCTTCCACTGAGCTGTTTGTTGTTGAGAGCCGAGGGGAGGTATTTGAAAGAGAGGAGCCGTCTGTTCACAGCTCCGTCCCTCAACCAAAGAAATGAGCGTTTTTTGTGCTTGTTTGTCTCATTAGATCATAAAGTATAACGAGGCGATTTTCCTCAAGCGTGCAGTCAATCACCAGGTCCGGGGGAATGAAACGGTAATGCTCGTGTAACCGAGGTAAATTTGACGCACTTAATCACGCGCTCTGAACAAACACACATTCAAAGCCTCTCGCATTCAGACATTTATCAGGCAGAGAGACAACACAAGCAAATTCATGGCACATTTCATTATGGGATAAAAAAATCAAAAGTGGGAGCCATCTTTCTTTTTTTTTATCCTCGCCTTTCTTCTGCCCCCGTCCCCTCTCAGCTGAGGAGTAAAAGAATGTGACCCTCATCAATATTGACAAGCTTTTTCATGAAATGAGCTCAGGGACGGAAAAATGAACAAGACCTTGGAGAGAAATTGAGAGCAGCGAGGAGGGTGAGACAGAATGCAAATTCTCTGATGACCAAGGGCATTACTTGTCAGGGGGAAGGCAAAAAAAGAGAAAAAGATATACGCCGCTATTCGTCACTCATCGCTTTAGTCATCACTCTCGTTTTTTCTCGCTTTTTGCCGCTCTATCTCCATCTCATTCATTCTACCCCTTCATTACTCTTTCCAGGTCTTTCTTCCTCTACTGTTGGAGTTTCCACAATGACAGCACATAAAACACCTTGGAACAGAGGCTCCCTGAGTGCTCATTAACGCCTCGTTAGCATTGAAAATGATCATCTCAAGAAGGGAATGGGTCTAGGGTGGGTGGTGGAGCTAAACAAATGAGATATAAATATGTGTTCCTCACCAAAGTGCCGTCTTTTCTTTTTCCCCACTGTGCCACTTCGTACAGATTTAGATCCATTTACTTTCAATTTCTTCTGGCACAGCAGAGAGCTTAACCCTCTTTCTTCAGATTTTTAATGGGCGTCGTTACAAGTTACAAGTCTTTTCCTCTGCTGTCAGACAGGATGTGAAAACAGGTGGAACTTCTATTTCTTTCTCAGTCAACACCTCCATGGCCTCTCCTCAGTGCTACAATATCTCCTGGCTGAGCTGCTGTGCCCACAGAGCAGGAGGAGGTGCTGCTGTTCACTGACGGGCATCTGACCTTGTCCAGGGTGTTCGGCTTATGCCAGTAAAGGAGCGCTTCCTACCAATGAGAAACAGTAGAGCTGACTACATCCTATCTATTTCCTTAAAATGTTAAAATCAATTATAAACATTACAATTCAATAGTTCAATCGCCACTTCATTGATTTTCACATTATAGACAAATGAATGAAAACCAATTGCTGCACAGGACAACAGATCAAATATGCATCCATAATATATCTGTACCACATGGATTCACATATATATATATATATATATATATATATTAAAAAGCTCTTGTATAGCTGAAGCTGTTAATGTAAACAAAATAAAAACTAGAGCCCAGTCAATTCAATCAATTAGAATTTTTTCGGCCGATACCGAGACATAAAGAATTTGTTTAAAGTTGCATTTTCATTCATATATTAGATAAAGTACAATATGTAACACAGTATACATCACCTGCTGTCCACTTGCTCTCACTGTATCTACACTGACTGCGAAACATTTAGTGAATCATCAGAACACGGAGTTTGTCCCATAGCCAGAGGCCGATAGTGGTAAAATGTGTTCTAGTGCCTGCCTGCATTTTTGTGTTCCTTTGTATATTTCAGAGCATTGCTGTTCTGCCGACACACGCACTAACACACACAAACACACACAAACACACACACAAACACACACAAACACACACCTGCACTCTCCAAGGTATTTGACCTGTTTTGCCCCCAAGCAAAGAATAATGGTCAGTCCTGCATCTCAACACTCTCATGCACTACCCCACTACCTTCAGCCTCTCCTCCTCTAGTTTGCACAGGAATGTATAAATTGTGTTGTTGTGAAGTTACCTTCTTTCTAAAATCCATATTTATGGCCAAATATTGTGTTCTCCTCGTTGAGTTGATGCTAATGAGTTGTACAGCCTATGCTCAGACACAGGAGGTACATCTCTGAATATTCTGTAAAAAGAAACAAAGGTTTATAAGAACCAACACACACACACAGTCTATCTGACCTTTTTATCTGATGGAAGTGGTAATGTGTGTAACGAATGGCTTGTAATGGCATCAGCTACTGGTTAAAGATCAACAGTGTTATACACACACAGTTGTATTAAAATGGTTTGTAGCTGTGACAGTCTTCCTTCTATCTTTAGCTCCTGCCAGCATCAGGTTGAGGTCCTCTACTTCCTCTTGAAGAAAATGTAGCTATTCAGCAAGAACCAATTAGTTTTGCTTTTGTGTTTCATTTAGTTGTTGTTTATCCTTTCTGATTCCACACAGGAATCATGTAATGTATAAAGCACTATTTTTCCCTTTCTATTTCAAATGCTTTTCTTTATCCTCTCTCCACTCATAACCTCTTGTCATTTCCTCTCTCCTCCTCCTCACTCTTCGTCCTTGCAGGCAGTACTATGAGATGCTGTACAACACCGCAGACGAGCTGCTGAACCTGGTGGTGGACCAGGGTGTCCGCTACACGGAGCTGGAGTACATCAACGCCCTGACGTTGCTACACCGCAGCCAGACGGGCGTCGGGGACCTGAGCACCCAAAACACCCGGCTGCAGCGGCTGAAGGAGATCATCTGTGAGCAGGCGGCCATCAAACAGGCCACCAAGGACAAGAAGATCACCACAGTGTAAAGAGAAGAGCAGGTCAGGGCTCAGAGGGGCGAAGACTGAGAGAGAATAACTTTACATTTTTCAAATAACCTGTGTTTTACATGTTTCCTTCTTTGCTCAACTCCTTCTGATCTGTTAAGCACGGATATGTGTAGAATTCAAGTGGGTCAAGTGTGCAAGAGTAAGAAATGATGGAAAGAAGATATTTGAGAAGTGAGTTAGAAAACACTGACCGAGATGTGCATGAAATCTGTTGATCTTCTACATTTCTTCTTGCATCTTAAGACATGAACTCCAGAGAATGTCCGAACAGTTGGTATCGGACTTTCTCTGGAGTTTCACACATGAACGACGCAGCAGTAGATTCTCCACTCAGAAATCTCGTTCAGGAGAGGGGTGGCGCAGCGGGCAGAGGCTGCAGGATGTAATGTTTTTATTCAGTTCGGCCCTTATCACCAAAATCTCTTTCGACATCTTCGTTGGTGTCTTCTACATGTGTAGCACTGCTTTTTCATCCTGTGAGGTTCGTTTTCTTTTTGTAGGTTTATTTCCTTATTTCCCACTCGCTCTTTGGATCATCTGCTGTGTCCTCACATTGACTCTTTAGGACGTTTTCCGTAGGAGTCTCTCTGACTCGGACATTTACGTTCTCACACACAGCCCCTTTCAGAGAACGTCAGGAGAATATTCAGGGTTCATGTCTGAATGCAGCTTTAATGTGATGAGACACATCGTAGTCGAGGGCTGACACAGATACTTTTCCCCCAAACTCTGCAGATTACAATATATATTATATATGCAGCAGTGACTCGCCCTAATTGGGAAGTGAGCTGACAACCAACTACAGACTTTCCAGGTCTAGCTACTTGTATATCTATATCATAAGGTAACCTATATTGTCACGACTCCTAACAGTCCCCCCGCTCACCACGGCAATGACTGCGGCTCCAGAATGAAAAGGCGATTGTCTTGGACACTCACCCCAAACTTAGGCCCGCTATCTCATCTCATTTTCCTATTAGATCTAAACTGCTGCTCTCAATTACACCTCTATGTCTCCTCTCCTGGCAGCCCCACGGGCCCACTGATTCTGTCTGCAATAACAGATGCCAGATTAGACTGTCTGAATGAGGCCACATCTTCCGCCTGCTGCCAATTTGGGTCGGTCCCCAAAGAATTCCCGTAGCGGAGAATTGTGTCGTATATACGGCTGTTATAAAAATCTGTCTTTTGTTTTTCTTACAGTTTGAAGGTGTTTGCTGATAAAGAGTAACTCAGTAACTAAGATTTCTTTTTGCTAATGTCAGTTTCATGCCTAAGAAATAATATTTCAAGTCCAGCACACCACAATTTCATGATTTCATATTATTATGAGTTTTCATTTTAAGCATTTATACATTTCTCATTCTTTCCTCTTTCATACATTTTCCTCATTACTAGCCCTATAAACCAAAACAAGGCCCCTCGTGACTCTTTATTTTGTCGTGCCCACCTCCTGCGCTTTAGTCTTTTAAAGTGAACTAAACATATAAACTCAAGAGACGATCACACATCATTCCCCTCCCAGCGAACCCTCCCTGTTTTTACTTCATTAACTTGAGAGAGAAGTACTTAACGAGAGCCGGAGAGGGAAATGGGAGTGTTGTCAGTGCAGCTGGCCCAGCGCTGGTCTCCCCGAAGCCCACGGAGCAATCCATCATAATGACACATCGGCTGGGATCGATGGGAGAACAACGGTGAAGCTGCTGAGGGGTTCGCCCACCACTCTGAAACGTACACGCTGTGTGGAATCTAAAATCTGCTGGTTCAGCTGTTCACTTCAGAGCTACTTTTGTAATGTAATACATGAGAAACTTTAATACAATGTTAACAAAGTGTGTCGTGTCACTACTACCACACACAGAAGTCCAGAAGGCTTATGTATTGGGTATACCGACTGCGTATAAAGATGGATGACGCTCCTGCACTTCCTTCTGTTGCACAAAAATGAAGTAAAATAATACCCTTGATACAGGTGGCGCTATTCTGTGGTTTGATTCTGTTAGGAGACAAAAGTCCTGCAGATACATGCACTCGACCAATCACGAGTCAGTCTCAGCTGTCAATCATTATGTTTCACTAACTGAAACCAACTTCACCAGAAAAATTAAACCTACTTCCTAAAATGTATTTCATTTGTACTTTGACTTTTTACTTTGGGCCATGTCCCATCTACTAACATGGATAATTTGGGGTTTATGACCTTGACTGTAGCCAGCCACCAGGGGGCGATCAAAATGATTCAGCCTGACTTTTTAAGGAGCTGTCGTATCATCCATCTTTATATAAAGTCTTTGAGTAAACTCGATGTACAATGAAAGAAAACTGCTCCTGCTGTCCAATGAGTAAAATATTTCAAATGTATAAAAGGTTCAATTTCATTTTTTTCTTTTCAGCTGACCTTTCGTTTGAACATGTGCTCTTTGATTAATTCAAATAAGAATGTGTTAAATTCTTGACGTGTATTTTTCTGTCAGTCTTGAACAAGTCTAAGCATCTGTCTTGTTCGTCTGTTGTCATCTTTTAAATGCTCTGAAAATTGTGTCTACTCTAAATCAAGCACGTGTGATTTGCCAGTACATACACTGAAAAATAAACCATCCAATCCCCGTCCTTTCTTCTTCTTGTGTCATATTTTCCACTGGGTGAGGTTCATCTGACAAAAGCTCACAGCTTCACACACTAACCCTCTCCCGTCTGTGACAGCAGCATCCTTCACTGTTTTGTCGCGGGAGAGACGTTCCCTTCGTACATCATGTGAGTCGGGCCGATCCAAAACCAACACTTTACCTGACAGGTGTGATGTGTGTTGTGACACGGTGTGAAGCATGAAGTGTTGCGGTGCAGCAAAGCGGAATGAGAAAAATAAACATGTTCAACATACCACCTGATCGTCTGTGTTGTGACGGGCATCAAACCTGCACGTACCTGCACACTGGTGATATTTGCAAACCACGGATGTGTTATCAAATGGACTGTCTCATATTCTCATTTTCTCACAGAGAAACAAACTTATCATATTCCCTCCATAAGATAACTCAAATTCTTTAATTGCTGCTTGGTTCAAGTAAAAGTTCTTCAATTTCCCTGCATGCTTTGTGCTCGATGTTTCTTTCGGAGAGTGAAGTCTCATAGAAAGTGTAATATAAGTGTTCCATGGTTGTAAAGGGACAGATGCTCCAGATCAACACTGGTGATTCCCCCGTAATTACCTGCTGCTCTTCCTTCAAACACGTGGTGGACACGCGGGGCAGCTTCTCCTCATTAACATCTTTTAAAACTCACATCTGATGGCACCATTTAGTGTTTAGTGTCCTTTAGTTCCAGAGGAGTTAAAACCTCTTTTAAAAACTTTTTTCACACACAGTCTGTGTTTAAAACCGTTAAACACACGTGGAGGTCGTGGGGAGTAAAAAAACTACACGACCCAGACTTCCTTGCAGTTGTTGCTAGGCGACAGAGGAGGACGCTGGGAGTGGAGGCTAACTTGTTAGCTAGCCGGGATAAGGATATGTAGAGTGTGTTTTTTCTCACTTCAAGTGCTTGTCAGTCAGTATTTAGCCTCGTCCCTCGTCGCTGAGTTTCCTTTATGAAACAATGAAGGAACCAGCGGGTGGACGACATGTTTCCTCGCCGTCTCCGGGCCGCTGCTCCCCGGGGTCCCCCGCTGACGCCGACGAGCCGGAGGAGAACACAGACATGGAGGTGAGAGGTTTCCACACAGATCAACTCCTCTTTCAGTTTCATTACATGTTTTACTTATTTAAAAAATGTAAAACCGCAACACGTGTTGTGTGGAATTAAGAGTTTTTAAAAGCATCCATATATTTGCTCCACAGGTGAAGCAGGTCACCCTGCAGGAGAGACCCGGGGAAGTAAAACAACACAACAAGGTTACACGGAGGATGATTTGCTACTTGCATTAGCATTGTTAGCAGTGAGACTCATGCATGAACCACCCCGGGTGACTTTAGAATAATGCATTTTGTTTTCTTATGTTTACAGAAGAGTGGTGTTTTAACTGCAGATGTGGCTTCCAGCTGTGTGACCCAGCTCGGACGCGTTGGGCTGCAGCATCTGTACCATCACCTGTCTCTGCCTGTAAGACACTTCACATACTCAAACATCATTTGATTTAGAACTGTGTGTACAAACACATACACAGGTGCTAGGTACAAGGAGAGAGAGACAGAGAATATATAAGAGTAAATATAGAATGAATACCAAAGTTAATAACAGTAAAAAGTGGATATAAGTTATAATCTAGATTTAGTATAGAATAGGGGAAGGAAAAGACAATTAGGTTTCTTCTTCCTACTCGTTTTCAGATAGAAAAAGAAACATGAATCTGTGTTAATTTATGTAACTTAATACTTTTTTGTTCTTATGTTTTTTCTTTCATCAAATATATTTTATTCTATCTTTTAAAAAAACCTTCAAAATGAATTTAAAAGGCTGGTTGTTGAAGGTATAAACAATTTGGAGCAACAGTTAGTTTTACAAGCAGGTAAAAAACATGATGGCGTTCCACACAGAAAACTCACACCTATACACACAGGATTCATGAAATGAAAGATAAAATAATATTTGTACAGCCGTTTTGTCTCTTTAGAAACAATTCTAGTTTAACCAAGATTTGATTTTCTCTATTCTAGAGTCACAATCTCAGCGACATCTCCAGCTTATGCAACTATGTCCATCTTCAAAAGCTGGAGCTGCCTCACAACAAAATTAAAGGTGGGTCTTGTTAATATTTGGATGACCTTCATGCTTTTGCCCCTTATTATTTATATAAGACAGACAGATTTACTTTAATCTTAAATTTTCTCCTGTGTTAGATTTGTCCTGCGTGAGCCACATGCCCTACCTCGTCACCCTGGATGCCTCTCACAACGAAATCTCCAACTTCTTTGGATTCCAGCCACCCAAGAACCTAAAGGTAACGTGGGACCTTGAGCTGACAGGATAAGGCAGCATTTGATTGGTGGCTCGGGCTTCGTTCTCTCATGCTATTCCCCCAAGATAGGCCTGGATTTCCATAGCCCATCTGTAGTCACTTAGGAAATGCTTACAAGGCATTAGCTGCCCTTGAATGACAGTGAACTTTTACTGAATTAAAGATTCTTTGCTATACTCTGGATTTAGCCCAAGTATTTCTTCAGTGAGATGTACTTAAGGCTTTTTATTCAGTGTGCTGCTTTTTTTCTTCCAGGAGGTCAATTTCTCCCACAACCGCATGACGAAAATGAAGGACTTGTCCGCCTATTCATCTCTTAGTAAACTGGATCTAGACCGTATCCTTACTGAGGAGCATTTACCTCCATGTGCACCCCCTGCTTCTTTTCCCCAGATGTAGGATGTCTTGCTAGGAAAGCACCGTCTCTCCACCTGTATTTCCCACCTGTGTATTATCCCTAACTCGTCCTTCCCGCAGACAACAGCTTCACTGAGATCAGTGGGCTTGAGCAATGCTGCAAGCTCGCTCATCTCAGCCTTGCGTGCAACAAGATCCTGAGGATCAGCGGCTTGGACAATCTGCCGCTGAGTCATCTCTGCCTCGTAGGTTCTTCTCTGTTATAAATAAACAGGTGCACACTCACACAGAGGTTCTTTCTCTGCTTTTGCTTGGCAAAATGTGTATTTACATGTATGGCAGTGCTTCACAGGAAGTGCACTGTCCACACAAACACTGTTTGAATTAATTTGGAGTTGTTTTCCCTTGTTATGTGCACGTATGCTCAATTTCACCTGCTTCTGTTTGTCTCTCTTTTCTCGCCTATCTCTTTATGTCTCTGTTTTGGGGGACACGTTTTTACATTCAGTAAAACCTCGGCCCCCTGTTTCAGAATCAACATATGGTCCAACAGCAGGCCTCTTCTCACTCTTTTGCTCTCTTTCTGCTTGTGTGTATACACGGGTCTGTGTGTGTGTGTACACGTGTGTGCTGTGCTTTATCAGTGTTTCCTCATTGTCAGCAGCCACCGGTCTGGCTGTGTCTGCCCCTGCTGACAGCTGCTGGTGTGTGAGAGAGCCTGGACCAGGTTCAGCACACACTTTCGCACACAAATACACACTCACACCCACACATACCTTGTCCATGCAGCATCCATCTAATCCAATCCCTGACCCCTCTTCCCCCTTTTTCCTCACACGCTGCCTCCCTAAACAGCACGGCCCTGTCAGCCAGCCTGTTTCCTCGCTCATCACAGCAACGACCCTGAGCTTCAAGGGACCAACGCAGTCACCCACCCCCACTGACAGCGGCCCTCTGCCAGGCGACATGCTTGGCAGAGGCAGGGTGAGGTGTGGCCAGACGGCGAGATAACAACTTTAGTCACTGGAATGGAGTGAGAGGCAGGCTGGGGACCCTGACAAGGGAGGAGTGCCCGTGTCTGGTTCTGTAGTTGGTTAGCGTGCTGCGCTAGCACCTCGCCAGCTGTTTGGCTGTCAGTCCTTACCCATCAGGATTTAGCAGAGAGAGGCAGCCTGTCACTCAACCCAGCACTGAAGGGAAAGAAAGTTCAGGCATCCTGCAGAGCAACCATGACACGTCCTTAATATTTGTTAGCGGGAATCATTTAGTGGATATGAAGTATAGAGGTGGTGGTTAGAAGCCACTTGTGTGCACATGCATATGCATGAATATCATGTGTCTTTTTTTGTCTGTGTCCAGAGGGGGAACCAGCTGGAGAGGATTGAAGGGTTGGAGAATCTAAAGAGTCTGCAGGTTCTTGACTTGTCTCTGAACAGCATCAGCAGCCTCTCTGGCCTCCAGAACCTCCACCTGCTGGGCTCCATCAACCTTGAGAAAAACCTGGTACTGATCCAGAGAGAGAACTGGTTAATAACCCGAGATTCAGTGGAAAATTAAAACACAAAACAAATATACTGAAAATCAAAACATAACAGACAAATGCTATCTATCAAATTCCAACATGAATAGAAAAGTTTCTTCATTTTGGCACAATATAAGGAGTGTTTAGTGTTTTTGTTTGAAGACATTTCAGTCGAACACATTGTTAAATTCAAAGGATCAAATCAGGTCATTTTAGTTCTAGCTGCTGTGTCAAGAAAGAGAAAGACTTTTTACACTCGAGAAGTTTCTTAGTTCAATGTTTCCTACTGAACTGTCCCACAGGGATTCCACAACATGATTTTTTGTGTTTTATTTTGTCAGATTTGTGAAATCCAGGAGTGTAAGCACATTCATGATCTTTTCCTGTTGAGGGACCTCAATCTGCTGCAAAACCCCGTCCAGGTAACACAAACCTTCTATTTGAACACAGCCCTTAACCAGCATTCGTGTGTATGACAGAGGTCATCATCCACGTCACATATTCTGTTCTTGCCTGTAATGCTTCTATGATGACTTCCATCTGTTCACTGCCTCTGAAAGTTGATGGTGTTTTACTCTGGCACCGCTGTCGAGTGTATACTTTATGAGGTCACATCAGAAAATGTACAGTACTGGCTTTAATCTAACTTCACCATATGTCTTTGTGTAACGTGTTCCATGTGGATGTGACTTACAGGAGCAAAGAGACTACAGACTGTCAGTTGTTTTTCTTCTGCAACACCTCACTGTGCTTGACCAAGAGAGAGTCACTGTTGAAGAGAAGGTATAGATAAACATGATATTCTATTTGGTAACAACACAATTTAATAGCTCAACATAAAAATATGAATTTCACTGATTCCAGGTGTCGTCAGTGAACAAATACGATCCTCCAATGGATGTGGTGGCAGCCAGAGATCACATGACCCACCTTGTGTATCAGCTGTTGCAGCCCCAGGTGCTCTACGACAGGTACAGTATACTACAAATATTAATACAACCTTATCATAAGGTAACAGGCCATGTATTTTTATTGGTGAATGAAACGAGGGGATTAAGCATTATTGTTGGACGTGTTTCCAAAACACGATCATAGATATCTTGTAAACTCATCTGCCCTGACAGTTGTTTCCAAACCCGCGCAGGATTTTTATCTGCAGTGTCCCTGTACTGCTCATATTATCTACTCTCTAAAAGAAAAAATGAGTTCATGCATCAGCACTTTTTTCCTGAAAACATCCATCATCAGCAAATAAAATGCTGCAGCTATAGACTCAATTTAACATTCCCCTCCATGCTTCCTAGAAAGCACACATCCACATTACCTACAAGGTTCCCTTTATATTGATCTTAAGAGTGACATTCAAGAAGGTTGAAGTTTGTGCTCTGGCCTCATGGTTTATTGTATTTAAGTCTTGTTCATCTTTGGTAACTGGGAGGTGGGTAACTGTGTGTGTGTGTGTGTGTGTGTGTGTGTGCGTGTGCGTGTGCGTGCGTGCACATGCGTGCGTGTGTGTCTTTCCTAGCAGTACTTTGCCCAATACAGACTCTCCCTATCCCATGCTGGTGCTGACGGGTCCTCAAGGCTGTGGGAAGAGAGAGCTGGTCCACAGACTGTGTCAGGACTTGAACGAATACTTTGGATATGGGTCAGTAAAGAGTATTTGTACATACATCGAACCTATTAGCACATAACTTTTGATAAATGAATCCAATAGGATAAACTCATGTTAATTGTTAAAATGAATAATCTGTAATCTAATGCAAAACAAACCCTAGTTAACATTCCTAACATTAAATCTACTTCCAACTTGTATGTGTCATTTACTCACTAATTTCCCACACTACTATATATTGGCCATACTATCTGGACTGGTGAGTCAAAAAACTGAGGACTGGGTGTCTATGTTTATTTAATAGTTGTAATGAAACATTGATTTCCTGCTGCTTTCTTTTCCATGATGACCCTGAAGTGATTTCTTTGTAGAAATCGGGCTCAAGATCCACAGTCCTCATTCCGTGTTCTATTAATCAGCCTTAGAAGTAATTAGATCACTTGTGTCTTGATGGCCAGATTTGTATCCCTGAAATGTGAATTTACAGGATGTATCCGTCCACCACAGCTTAACAGGGTAATAATTTCCCAGACACACAAATGAGAACAATCATACTAAAATGTCAGCATCATTTTAGAAGGTACCCGACATCCTGACTCAGTCGAGGCTTTGCTCCAGATTAAATGTTTGCATGGAACAAGGAGATTTCTTCATGAGCATAATGAGATGGAAAGATCACACTAACCAAAAACTCTTTCAGTGATAATATATTGTATCAATGTAGAGCTTTACAAGATATTAGATTCCAAGTTTAGCATAAGAAGAAGCAGCGTTCACATATCATGTGAGTATCAGATACGTATGAACATAAAAAGATATGAAGCGAAACACATGTATCATAAATTAACAACATATTCTTGGTCTTCAGTGGGTGGTTGAGGGTCTTTTCCTGGGGTTTTGCCCCCTTACTGGCCCCTATAGTGGTTACAGGTCTCGGATTATTCACATAGATGTTATAAATTATATCGCTGGATATGTTTGATCTCTACTTTATGTCTGTGTGTGTCTGTCCACAGGATTTGTCACACCACAAGGGAACCGTACTTCGGAGAGGAGAATGGAATCGATTACCATTTTGTCAATGAAGAGGACTTTCAGAACATGATTCACATGGTACGTTTGCTTGACATCAAAATGTCATTTTTGGCATCAAAGGTCTCAGGAGTGACTGCATGAGAAGAAAAGGGCCTCAGCATTATTTCTGACCTCTTGCACAGTGTCATAAGTCATTCTTACATAATGATTCTCGCCTGCACGTTGGTGAAATGTACACTTTGTTTTTTTCAAAAGCTGCAACTGAATTATGCTTCAGCCACATAACTCAAACAGTTTATAATTGGCTTCCTTGGCCATAACGAATCGAGTAGATGAGATAATCAGTTTTAGCAGGACGGATTGATTTTACTTTCACCGGCTGATATTTAGTTTAGAAAGTTTACATTTAGTCAAAGGTCCCTGCACCTTGAAGACATTTGTGTTTCATATTGTCTTCCTCTTGTCAGCCTGCCTGTTGTGTAAGAGTGGCGGCGGGGTGACCAGTAGAGGTCGTGGTCATGACGTGATTTACACAGCAAAGGCTTTGATGCTGCCATTGAGGCCTTTTTGTCTCCTCCAACAGAGGAAGTGGTTTAAGTTAACCTGACAGTCTGCCCACCCCCTTTCTGCTTGATTTGTCTTTTTCATCCACCTTTTCCCTCCCTTCTTAGTTGCCTGATTTGATTTATTGCCGTCCTGTCCTCCCCCTTCACTCTTCATCCTCTCATCTCTCTCTTGTCCTCTTCTTCAATCCTTCAGATTTGCCCATCAGTTACAATTCAAACCCACTTCTTGTGACCACTCATATACAAAATTAACCCCAATCGGAAACACTATTGGTACTCATCATACTCTTTACTGTGCTGCAAAGAAAAAGACGGCTGACTGTGTGATTATTTATTGATAACTATGGAATCACAACATGTTAATAATTGTGTTTTTAAATGTTTTTCAATTACCTGTTTAGAGAGGGTGAGGCATAAACACTTTGCGTAACTAGCGGATAAGATTAATGCCTCTTTGTGTTTTAACATGTGAAGCGGTGTTTTGGTTAAAGTCTGATTCTTACATTTAAAAGCCTATGCTCCATTTTATCTTTGAAAAGCATTTTGTAACAGAAGTTCAATAACTCCTGGGATAAGTTGGCCCATGCTGCTAAAAAACAACAGCCCCAAAGGCTGGCAGACGCAGGGTCAGATGTCATGTGTGAGGAGTAATAAACAGGGAGATTTTTGCCCTGAACACCTGGTGAAAGTTCAGTTTGCAGGTGGACAAATGACTTAAGGTTGCTCATCTTGACAGAACATGCTGAGGCTGTGTTTGTGTGTCGCTTCAGTTAATGAACGGCTCCTTGGTGTTCTTTAGTGACGCACTAAAATCTTCTCTTATTCTTTTTCTCCCCGTCATAAATGGAAATTCCCTCTCAGGGTAAGTTTATCCAGACCATGCATTACGGGGGTCACAGCTTTGGGCTGAGCAGAGACGCCGTAGAGAACGTGGCCAGAGAGGGACTGGCCTGCTGTGTGCATGTGGAGCTGGAGGTACGCATATGGAAAACTCATCTGTGAGAGGAGGCTGGTAACAAATGTGATCAGTAAATCCAGTAGAGTGAGTGTGTTCTGTACCATGCTTCATATAATACTGTGTGTTAGAAATCTCCTTAACACCCAAAGGAGTAGCTGAGGATTCATACAGTTAAAATAAAATATAAAAAAGTAGATTAAAAACGTTTTGTCAGAGACATGTAAACTGCTCTGTCTATCCCTGCAGGGCGTCTTCAGTCTGAAGAACAGCTCCTTCCAGCCTCGATACATCCTCCTCATCCCAACCCAGGTGGAGAAGTACAGGGGCCACCTAAGAGGCCGTGGTCTCTACACCCCGGCACAGATCGACACGGCCGTGTCACGCATGGAGCTCTACACAAACACCAACAGGCAACGGCCGGGCTTCTTCGATGAAGTTATCCCCTGTGGTATGGCAAGGAAGCACTTTGTCACTGAATTATTCCTCATTATGCCATTAGCTGTATTAATTCATCTACAATTCAGTGCTTACTAGCAGTAATTTAATATTCTCCTGTGGCTAATTTGATCCATTTGACTAATTACTCAATTAATGTTTAATTGCAGTGTAAAGTGTTATGAATATTTACAAACAATTTTCAACAAACCTCAGTGTTTAAGCTAAGAAAACACTTAATTGGTTCCTAACGAGACATTTTAATCTTTCTACTTATTTAACCTTTGTTTATCATGTTAGCTGGAAAGAATTCGAGAAGTCTTGCTCTGATCGCTCTGATCACAGGCAGTTTGTCATTGGGAGTGTCACAAAAAGCAAAAATCCCCCCCCCCCTCCTCTCCCCTGGCTTGGCACTGTCCAAGTGTCATTGATATAGCCTTGGATAAATTAACACACCCTTCTAAAATCCATACACTACACTTTCAATCCAATTACCACATGCATTAAGGGCACGTAGCCGCAGAATAGCTGTGTTTATCATTCCCTCATGAAAGCACTCAGACATGTTAGCTGTTTTCTTAATGAGACGAACATACAGGGAGCGTGGACACTCATCACTTTTATGCACTGCTAGCCAGCAGCTCATTACACTAAGGTCATCCTCCCCATATCTTTGAGTCATTACTGTTTGATGAGAGATGTATTGGCTCTATGCACAACCAGTTTTTTTTGTGTGTGTGAGCAGATGACTGGCAAGAAACGTACCCGGCTCTGAGGCAGGTAGTGAAAGGATACCTGTTGCTAGAGGAACAGGAAGGAGAACACAACAACAGAGCTCCCCCTGACAACATCTCCACAGGTGTGTTTGTTTGTTCAAAGCATTAATAGAGTCAGGGTCGGTGGCAACTTCATAAAGAAAAGGATGTAAGGTTTTTACTTATCTAGTTTTTAATATTTTGAGGGATCCTCTAATTTTACCTGTAACAATAAACGTTCTGGTCACAGGGAGAACAGCACCATAGACTGTTTGACAGCATCAAGAGTGTCAAATGCCCCCTGGTGGCTGGCTGAACAGTAAATCAATGTGCCACGTTGAATCATTGCTACTATAAATTAGATTTCTTCATGCTTTACTTTTGCATTATATGTTCCTAGAAGCACTGTGTTCCCACATGTTTGCTGTAACCATCATTTACATTAATTCACAGTACTAACACACACTTTCCGTCTCGTTTGGCCTCAGGTCATGAGCCAGACGAAAAGCCACCATCACCCCTGTTGAGGTCAGGATCAGGGACGTCACACTTTGCCACAGCTCTTGACCCCTCAGATCCCTCTTACAGAAACTATTTAACCAAGATCCAGGCCGAGCTCACCCCTCAGAAGAGCTCTGTGGTAAGTTACAAGATGTGTGATGAAAAATTGATCAGCTGTGAAGCCTTTAAGTGAATGCTAAATCATCATGACTCTATACAATCTATAGAAACATGAGCTTCAACCCTCTGACAGGATGCCTGCTTTCCATTTCCTCCTGCATCTTACCTGCATCCCCTTTAACCCTGTTTGTCCTCTTTTCTCACCCTCCACATCACCATCCACACATACCATTCCTCTTTGTCTCCCCTTCATCTCACCTTTGGACTGCACCTTCGCGTCACCTCCTCCGTCTGTCTGACTTTCCTCTCTGCAGGAGCTAGCATCCATCAGAAGGCGTGAGCAGCTGGTTAGAGAAGCTATAGTGGGGAAGAGTCCAGGGGTCTACAGCCAGCTCTTCAAAAGGTCCGTTATCAGGAGCACACACTCCACCGCACTCCACCACTTAATATCAAGTGGCTGCTCTCATTTGGGCCAAATTTGTTTTAATCGCAGCACTTGTCCTAACTGCGTTTTGATGACTTGTTTTGGGTTAGTGCTTGACCTTGATGGTGAAGTGGCAGGTGTCCAAACTGCAATAACAGTGGTCCTCTGCACGCAGCTTTCCTAAAATACACCTGTACCTGTCACCTTTTCTAACTAAACCAAATATGAATGAATGGCTGCATGTTTTATTCTAGTGAACCGTGTTATTGTGTGTAAGAATTATTGTTTTTGTCTGTCTCAGCTCTCCTCAAACGGCACCATCATCACAGCAGAATCAGGATCCTGGTGCGGATATCAGTGAGGACCACAGGTACACACACACAAACACA